ATCCCTGGCTGCCCTGAGAAGGTGGTGGTGATGCCTTCTCTTTAAACCACTGCAATCCTTGTAGTGAATGTGTTCCCACGATGATGTTGGATGAGAAGTTCCAGCATTTTGACCCAACGACAACGACAAAATGGCAATTTATTTCCAAGTCAGGATGGTGTGTGTGACATGGAGAGGAAACTGATAATATGTGTGCAGTGAAAAAAATGCTTCAGATGATATAATACTTGTATTTAATATCATATCACTCAAAAAACAATAACAAATACAGCATAGCAATTAGCACATGATAACCTCTAGTTAACCTGTGTATTTCCAGAAGATATAATTACAACAACATCTTGGATTTATATAGTATTCTTCACAGAGTGCTTAAACGCAAATAATAGGAATAGTTTTCTGAACTTATAATAATAATCCTTGTACTTGATATATCGCCTCATCACGTCATTGAGACATCTCAAAGCACTTTACAGAATATACTGTAAAGTGAATTGTCTGTTTATTTTGTGGGTGAAGCAAAACAACTGAACAGGCAACAATGGATTTCAAATTCCTTAGCAAACCAGTCATGCCAGTGGATGAGATAATTGTATCATACTCATACATTTCTCTTTTATACGCTTTCAGTCAAAAGTTTTAAACTCAGTATATGGACATGGTATGAGGTAGTTTACTGTTCTAGATAAACTAAAAATTCAAAAAGTCAAAAAGGTTAAAGCCTAGCACATATTTCTGAATGATGTAGTATATCTAGAACAGGTGATATTTGGGCAAAAATAGCAAAAATCTTCAGTGTATTTTAAGTTCTTCTCTATTAAACATGTAAGAGACATGAACTGTGCACACTTCAAATACAGCTACAAACTGGAACATGGATCTCTGTATGGATTGCAGAGAAACATTGGGATAAAATAGATGGTGTTTGTTGTCTATTACATCTATGTTGTAAAGATATCATAAGATCAGCTCTTAAATTACTTAAGAAAACAAACCAGAGGATGGAAAATTCTCATGATTTTATCCTTCAGATCTTTGTCTTAAAATTTAGTATTGTGCAAAATTAAGGAAAATGATTCAATTCTGCCTTAATTTGAAAGGCAATTTTTCATGTTAAAACTGTCTTCGAAATTAATACTGAATTGAATACGTTTTCCATTATTCTGCACTACCATAAATTTTAAGACAATGGTCTCACCGCTCAGATCTTGAGAAATCTCAGGGCTGCCATGATTGAGGGGAAGAATTCTCCTCACCCTCCGAGGTAATGTGATTAGAAATTTAGATTGGGCTCATGCTCCTCATCACTTTACAGCTTGATGTGATATTGTTTCACTTCAGCAATACAAACAGGGCCCAACTTCAGGCAGGTGACAAAAGGCGCTCAATATCTGATGTACTGAAACATCAAAAATAAATCGTCAGCTTTGGTTGGGAGGGGGTAAACTTCAGCTGAGTTTCATAATGAAACCAAATACATTCAGTGTTGAAGAACACCTCAAACCAGCTAAGCCATGGCTTAAGGCCCCGATGTCTGAGGGGGCCCTGAGGTCTGATGGGCCCCGGGTATAACTGACGCCTTTACCGCCTGCTGCCCTCTTCCTGTCAACCTCATACCATCGACGGGCAGGCTTTCAGCCTCTCTGCCCCCACCATCTGGAACTCCATCGTGGAGATCCAGATGGTGGAAATCCCTTTGCCTTGCTCCCTCTATTGCCTCCTTCAAGGCATGACTCAAGACCCTCCTTTTTGACCGTGCCTTCAGCCACCCTCCTACCATCTGCCCTTCCTCACCCCAACCCTGCCCCCCCACACTTGAATTCTGATCCCTGACTGTTCAGCGCCTTGGGATGTCCTCCCAATGTAAAAGGCGCTTTACAAATGTAATTTTGTTGTTTTTGTTGTTATTGTTGAGTCACATGTCTAGAAGGTAAGTCAAGGTATTAGGTATTTTGGAGAGCAGGAGCCATGTCTAACAGCAGTAGAGCTTATCTTAGTGGCGCTGAAAAAAGATTTTGATGTGGACAGTGTTGGTGAATTTGTGCACTTTCTAGATTTCTATCACATATTATGAGTTAGAAAACTCCTCAAGAAATACTTAAGCGTATGACACTGAATCACTTGGTGGAATCAACATTCCCAAATGTGGCAGTTGCTCTTTGTATGTTCTTAACTCTATCAGTATTGTGAAGGTGAACGCTCGTTCTCAAAGATAAATCTAGTCAAAAACTCATTCAGTCTACAATTATCCAGGATAGATTGAATTCACTCACAAATACACAAAGAGACCAGCGGGAGGTAAAAGCATCATGTAGTTAACATATTTGCAATTATGAAGTGCTGCAAGAAATTATTGTGGAATATTTTGTGTGCATAATTCAAAGGGCCCCCAAATATGATTTGGTTTAGGGCCCACCCAATCCCTTAATCCGGCCCTGCTGAATTATCTTTACCATTATTGTCATCTATACTAGTGGTACTCTTACTGAAGAATTGTAATTTTTTTAAGAAACATTCAGTTCTATCAACAATTTCCTGCGAGTGTGCAATACCCTAATCTAATTGTTGTACTCTCTGAAGTTCCTATTTATCCTCAGGCCAATACAAGTAGTATTGGGGTCAGTTTACTGAGAAAAGCATACATCCCACTTTGGTTCATTTCCAGCATGTTAAATGTGGAATGTTACTGTAAATGAAGAAGTCATTCTGCTCACCAAGTCTACACTGGTGTTTTTCTCTGCGTATTTCTGGAGACAGCCATCACCATCAGGGAGAATACAGTCTTATGCTATTGCTTCAAGCATTGGAGCTCAATGGTGTCCTACTTCGACACTATGACCCCACACAGTGCAAGTTGTCACTGATATTCTTGTAAACACGGTCACATGTAGTGAGCGTGCAATGTTCAGAGGCAATTGATCATAATTTTACAATTGTTTTGACAATAAGCACATTCTTAGTACCGAACGTTTTTAAAGCCAGTTAAGGCTGGTTTCTAAATCCAATACAGTCTTATCAATCACCAATTGGCATGGCTTAAAAGGGGGCAATGGAAAGGCTGAAAGAAACTAACCCAATGATCATTTGAAATAATTGCCATAATTAGACATTACCTTTTAGAAAAAGTTGCCAGATCATTTTACAGAAGTTAGACTTCACAAATTGGTGACAGAAATGGACGAGAAGTGTTGAAAATATTCAGCTTTCAGGGGTCAAAGGGACCGTTTACTGCCGCAAAATATGTGCGGTGAGGAAGGGGGTTGGGCAGGCGCGCTAATAAAGGCAATAAAAGCTCATTTTTATTCATGGATCCCAGTACACCAAAGAAACGTGGAGCTTCATTATTTAATACTGCAGTCCAGCCTCCTGTCAGATTGCTGCTGATTAAAAGTATCTCCAAAACTGTGGTGATTATAGTTACATGGCAAGAGTCAGGCTTACAGGTCACATCAGAGAGCTGGGTGCAGAATACCCTGCAGCCAATTTGATATCATCTTCCAGAATACCAACCCGACCATCGCCTCATTACTCCTTGAAATCTTGAATTATTTTCAACAGCCATTCTCACAATCAGATCCCTATCCTTTCTAACCCTATATGACTGCAATAAATACTTGAGCTTTGTTACAGTTCGTTTGTACTCTGTTCTCATGCGTTGCACTACCTTTGTACAAAAGCAATAGGTGATTAAGCACAATCCAACCTTTTCACATAAACTTCTTGCACACAGAGTTTTTGGATTTATTAAGAAAATGAAGTGGAGGTTAATATTAATTCAGTGCCCCTTTCAGTGCCCTGCAGCCAATTTACTATCAACCTTCCAGAGTACCAATCCAAGCATCACATCACTATAGCAAATATGAATGTCAAACCTCATTAAAGATCCATCTCAAGACCTACCTCTTTGACTACCCGTTGAATCATCTTTCCCCTCCCCATTTCCCTCAGCTTCCATCCCCAGCTCAGGTGCCCAGCCAGGATTATTAAGGGCCTTGGGACAGCTTCCCAACATTAAAGGCGCTCTATAAATGTAAATTTACGTTGCACTTTATTGTCAAACATGACCCATACAAACCATATACAGCCTCTTGGTTCTTTTTTCATAAGCACACCCTGTGAATAGTTAAGAGTGCTCAATACTGGTAGAGAAAAATGTTTGCCAGCCCGAGGCAGATCCTGGACAAAAAACTTCAAGTCGTCCACATGTAAAAGATTATGCAAAGCTGCTCACAAGAACTGTGGATGCGACATTAGCCTTAATCTTGTGCACAAGAACACAACTTTGTACATATGTAGAAAAGGATTTTCCCTCAGAGTGCCAAGATCAGATAGAGTGGAAGAAAGGGGCAGAGAGAGAACAAGGCAGAGAAAGAGAGGTGAGTGACAGAGAGAGCAGACAAAAAGAGTGAGAGAGTGGCAGACATAGAGAGGGCAGACAGAGAGAGAGAGAATCTGGTTCCATGGTTCAAACCTATTCGCTTAGATACCCTCAAAGGCTGAATGAATTTGTAGTATTAAACTCTGGCTTCAATTCTTCATCTTCTATCTAAAGAAAAGTTGTCCTTCACAACCTTCGACCTGTGCTCTCTTTTCCTGCTGCTTTGGCGGATCTGAAGTTATTGCTCTGGGTTTGCTTTGAGTTTTCCATTAAGCATCTAATTTGGCTCTGTAATGCCCCTCCTGAGACATATCTTTTCAAGGCTGAAGAGCCCTACCTTATTGTAAGTGCAGATCCACAATCTACATAACTAAAATTTTGACTTTGAAAACTGTCTTTCACTTGTAAATTTCCTGCAACTCAAGATGAATATTGAACTATTTCAGCACCAAAAGCTCAAAGTCTGATCTTTTGCTACAGCTTGCATTTAAGTGGATGGCGCTTTTTGGTCTTACAATTTAAGATTGGGCACAACTGTGAAAAAGACCCGCTTAAAATTACTTCTCAATTAAGACTGTATTTAAGAATTTTTCACAATTCTGCGCAATCTTAAATTTTAAATCAAAATGGTCTCTTGCAGGCCTAAAGACTGGGTGGAATTTCTGACCTGCGTTCTGCTGGAACACATCTGCTGGATATTGGATGGTTTGCGAATAGGTTAGTGCAAGTGATCAAGTGTGAAAAATCTGTGCATTGAAAGTAACAACCGAGAAGTCATTGGATGTCTGCTGGTTGAAGATCTAATTCTAGTGCAGATGGCAGGGAAGCATTTGCTCAATTCATTGCTTGGTTCATCTAGTAGCAATTCAAGATTTGCGTGAGTCACCTTTGTACACGGCAGAAGAAAGGCGCTTCAAAAGGATTTCTATTGGGCTTCACTTTTCCTGCGAGAGAGAGAGAGAAGAAATATCTATATTTAGTTACAAAGCTCTTCAGCTAGCTGTGTGTTTAGCAGAAGTGAGTGTCCTATATTTGTATATATTTGTATTCACCGAACACTCTATAACCTACTGACGTGACTATTAGAGGCGGCCGGGCCATCTATCTACATTGCGTTTCCACTATTTGCCTACAAAATACACAGTCACTACACTTAATAATATGGCCTGTGAGACACTTTGAAATGTCATCCCATAAAGTGAAACACACTTTATCAAAAGGATGATTATTATTACTGTAAACGTCAATGCTGTAACAGTACTGAAGAACTTAAATTTGATGCAAACTGGATGCTGTATAGATAGTAGCCACTTCAATTGTGGTGAAGTGAAGGAAGGCAGAGCACCACACATGACCTCACACATACATGAACAAGCTATGCTAAGATCATTCTGTGAAATGGCACGTGTTAACATATGATCAGAGATGAAAGCCTTCTCCAGAAGTCAGGAGGGTATAAGGGGGCTGGGGGGTTGATTCCCAAACCTGCTATTGTGGAGACCTGTAGCTCAGTGGTTAGAGCACTCGCCTCGCAAGCAAGAGACCTGGGTTCGATTCTCAGTAGGGCGAAACCTTGGGCAAGTTTCCTTACTCCACATGCCTGATAATAATCCCTCAAGAAAAAAGAAAAATAATAAATTGGTCACTTCAATCCACAACTGTTTGTGAGACACTGCTGTGCACAATTGGCTGCTGCGTTTCGCCGACAAATACAGTCAATTCACTTTACAGTATATTCTGTGAAGTGCTTTGAGACGTTTAGAAGATGTGAAAAGCGCTAGATCACATGCAAGGATTATTATTATTATGTTTTACAGTCACGTGTCATCTCAATGCAATCAAACCGTTTTATGAATTAGTCTGAACCGGTTTGATATGCAGCAGTTTAGAAAGATAAAGTGAGTGGCTTCACTTATTAGGTACACATTAGGCAGAGATCTTAAGGCTCTTGTACTTTGCATGCTGTGCTTCTGCTTTCAGGAACAGGATGGTAATTCTGTGATCTTACCTCGCTCAGATCCAGACTGATGCACAGCTTATAGCAAATGTTCTGACCATCATGAAACAGCACCACACAGCAGTGCATCAAAGCAAAGACTGACAATGGGAGGTCCAACCACCTCGCTGTTTAAAAATTCTTCAAAGTCTCAACAGCTGCCAATTGCTGGAGACTATTATAGATTATGAACAACAATAACTTGGATTTACATAGCGCCCTCCACACTGGATGGCGTCTCAAAGCGCTTCACAATAACGGATCCCGGGGCCGTGCCAGTGGGAGGGGGAGGAAGGTGACCAAAGGCACGGTTGAAAAGAAAGGTCTCTAGCCGAGACCTAAAAGTAGGAAGAGAGGGGGTGTGGCGAAGGGTGTGAGGAAGGGAGTTCCAGAGCCTCGGGGCATAGTGGCCGACGATGGTGGAGTGGAGGATTTGGGGGACAAGGAGGAGGCCAGACACGGTGGAGCGAAGGCAACGGGCACTGTTGTGAGGAGAGAGGAGGTCAGAGAGGTAGGGGGGGTGCAGAGAAGTGGAGGGATTTGAAATTGATCTTCTCTGGGACATGCAGCCAGTGCAGTCAGGCAAGGACTGGGGTAATCAGGGAGCGGAGTTTGGTGCGGGTAAGAATGTGGGCGGCAGAATTCTGGATGAACTGGATTTTATGAATGGTAGTGGAGGGTATTTGAATAATCCAGCCGAGAGGTGACAAAGGCATGGATCTGGGTTTTGGCGGCTTTTGGGGTGAGATATTGGCAGAGACGGGCGATGCGTCAGAGGTGGAAGAAAGCGGTGCTCGTGAGGGACCGGATGTGTGGGAGGAAGGATAACTGGGGGTCGAACCTGACACCTAGGTTGCGTAAGGGTTTGGAGAGTTTTAGGGGCAGGTCGGGTAGGTGGAGGAGGTGAGAACTGTGCGATAAGACGTTGATGAGAGCCAAAGAGTATGGCTTCCATCTTGTCAACATTTAGCTGAAGGAAATTCGTGCTCATCCAGCTCTTGATGTCTGACAGGCAGGCTGACAGAACATCAGGGGACTGGGGGGTTGCAAAGTGAGGTGGAAAAATAGAATTGGGTGTCGTCCGCGTACATGTGGAAGTGTGCCCCATGTCTGCGGATGACATCCCCAAGAGGGAGCATGTAGATTAGGAAGAAGAGGAGGCCAAGGATGGTTCCTTGGGGTACCCTGCAGATAACCGGGTGAGAGCGGGAGGAGAAGCCGTTTGTGGAGATGTACTGCTGGTGGTTTGTGAGGTAGGACTCGAACCAGGCGAGTGCGGTCCCACTGAGATGAATGACGGAGGAAAGGTGGTGGAGTAGGATGGCGTGATCAACTGTGGCGGAGAGGTCCAAGAGGACAAGGAGGCAGAGGGAGCCTTGGTTACCGATAGAGAGAATGTCATTTGAGACTTTCACAAGCGCAGTATGTACTGTGGACAGGGCGGAAACCGGACTGGAGGGGTTCGAAGAGGGAGTGGGAGGAGAGGCATGTGTGGAGTTGATTGGCAACAACGCATTCTAGGACTTCGGCAAGAAGGCAAGTTGGTTCTGCTGTGTCAGCTGACTTGGTTTCAATTGAATAGAGCATAATAACATGATCAAAGAAAAGAAGCACAACAAGGCAGGGAAAGAAGAATATAATAATAATAATCCTTGCATTTGATATAGCGCTTTTCACGTCGGGAGGACGTCCCAAAGCGCTTCACAGAACACACTGTAAAGTGAATTGACTGTATATTTGTGGGCGAACGCGGCAGCCAATTGCGCACAGCAATGTCCCACAAACAGTCGTAGATTGAAAATGATCAATTTATTATTGTTTTTGGTTTTTAGAGGGATTACTTTTAGGCGGGTGGAGTAAGGAAACTTGCCCAAGGTTTCACCCTGCCTGGACTTGAGGGCTCTCACTTGCAAAATGAGTGCTCTAACCACTGAGCTACAGTACTCCACAAGTCCTCCACAAGAAGAAAATGAGTGGGGTGTAGTTTTTCTGCAAATGGCAAATTGTAGCAGTGAAGATTGAGCTTCAGTGCGGTGAATGCTACTGGATGAATTGTACTATATCAATGCAAGTTGTTGTTGTGTTATCCTTCTCAGCAGATGGTTCTCCCAAATGCATTGGATTCTGCTTGAATTTTCACAACTCTGCAATTTGTGTCCTCTTCCACTCCAGGCTCCACAAGCCTATCACCTGATCCTTGCCTAGCTCCACTGGCTCCCCATCGCCCAAAGGATTGAGTTCAAGATCCTCTTCCTTCATGGTCTTATCCCATTGGACTACTGCAACCTTCCAAAACATTAGCAACCCGCCCACTCCCTCTGCTTGGCAGGCACAAGCCTGTTCCATGCCCCCCACCCTGCCCACCCCACCAATGGCACCAGTCTCTCTGCCCCCATCCTTTGGAACTCCATCCCGGTGACCCTTTGCTTTGCTCGTTCTCTTGTCTCCTTCAAATTTCATCTCAAGACCTTCCATCTTGATCGTGACTTCAGTAATATTCACAAACCCCTTTCGTCCACCTCTCTTAATCCAATCTCCAGATCAGGTGCGAACCCTTGACTGTAAAGCAACTTGGGACGTCCTCTTGACATGAACAACAACAACAACAACATTTCATTTACAGAGCGCCTTTCACGTGGGGAGGACGTCCCAAGGCGCTGGACAGTTGGGTCGGGACCCGAGCAGGGGGGAAATGGTCAGTGTGAGGGAAGGGAGGAAGCAAGGAGGGGGTAGAGAGTCGAGAGGGGAGCTGAAGGTACGTTTGAAGAGAAAGGTCTTGAGACCGGTCTTGAAGGAGGAAAGGGAAGAAGCAAGGCGAAGGCACTGGGGGATGGAGTTCCACAGCCTGGGGGCTGAGAGGCTGAAAGCCCGGCCACCGATGGTAGGGCGGTTAGGGCGGGGGATGTGGAGCAGACCGGAGCCAGAGGAACGGAGGGTAAGACAGGTAAGTAGGGGGATAGTAGGTCAGAGAGGTAGGAGGGAGCGAGGCCGTGAATGGCCTTGTAGGTGAGGATGAGGATCTTGAATTCGATCCTCTGGGGGATGGGGAGCCAGTGGAGGCGAGCGAGGGTAGGAGTGACGTGGTCGCGAAGCCTGGTGCGGGACAGTACACGAGCTGCAGAGTTCTGAATGACCTGCAGCTTGTGGAGGGAGGTGCCGGGAAGGCCGGCGAGGAGAGAGTTCCCATAGTCCAGCCTTGAGGTGATAAAGGCGTGGACCAGTGTTTCAGCAGCGTGAGGGGTGAGGTAGTGAACACAAACAGCAACAACAAAATTACATTTATAGAGTGCCTTTCACGTCGGGAGGATGTCCCAAGGCGCTAGACAGTCAGGGGTCAGGACCTGAGCATGGGGGAGGGGTGGGCTAGGGATGAGGGAAGGCCCAGAGGTGGGAGGGCAACTGAAGGCACAATCGAAGAAAGGTGTTATATAAATGCAATTTGTTGTTGATGTTGTAATGTATTATTGGTGAGACAAGACATCCTTCCCTCTGCTACCTAAGAAAACTCACCTGAAAAGAATAGTGTAGTCTGATAAGAATTTATCAAAGCTTATTTTAGTCTTCAAAGCAGTAAACAGCATTCCTTGTGGGATACTGGAGTTAAAAGTGCCATGTTCCATATCAGATTCTATAACACTTTCTATAAATATGGAATTGGTTATGGCACATTACATTTTTTAACCCCTTTATTAAAAATAGTAGATGACAGAGTTATGAGGGCAATTTGCAAACCTCACTTAGTTTAATTCAAATTCATTTTTTGCACCTACTAAATTGTACTACATAGAGCTACAAAGTTTAAGGCAAATCTCGCTTGGTTTGACTTAAATTCCTTGAAGACCCGCAGTTCCATAATAGTAATAATCATAATCCTTACATTTGATATACCGCCTTTTCACATTGTTACAACGTCTCAAAGCGCTTCACAGAATATATTATAAAGTCTGTTTTGTGGGCAAAATGCAGCAGCCAATTGCGCAAAGCAGTGTCCTACACACAGTCGTGGATCGATTGACCAATTCTTTTTTGAGGGATTATTTTATCCCCGGAAAGCAATCTGCCAATCGATCTACAACTGGGTTCCTACTTACTGCTAGGTAAACAGAGGCATGTGGAATAAGGAAACTTAATAATAAAGAATAGTCACTTAATCCAGGACAGTACTGTCTGACCTGTGCTGAAGCAGCTGCACTTACCGGTGCCGGGTTCCATTTTCATTGGAATCCAGTGCCTCCTGTGTACTCCTGCAGGGCCATTGAAACTCAGATTAGCATTGAAGAATAAAATGTTTCCAATTAAATCTTTCAATAAAGCCACAATGAATATACTCACACTTTCTCATGAAACTTTTCAGTCTCTGTGCCATTCACTGTGTCAAGAATGTCATGCGGGAAAACAAACAACAAACAATAAAATAATTACACAGACAGCCACCATCCTGAAAGGATAATTTAGTAATCTTATATATATACTAATAAAACGACAATGTCTGTCTGCGCTTCAAGAAGGATCTGAATAACCGATTGATGTAGAGACATGATTTGTGCCTCATCGGAGCAGTCTTGCACCTGGGAAAGACATGGGCCTTTTTGTTTTTGGGTATCTCCTATCGTTCATGAGTTATTTTCAGTTTTGCATTTTTTGCTGCAGTTACACCGGGTGGTCGCCGAGTCAAAGTGGCACTGTGGCATCGTGCGTCACAGAGCACCTATATATGTACTCACATACTGCAGTAATACCTGGTGGCCACACCGACTGACCATGGCACTGTGGCATCCTCGTCTCAGAGCACGCGCGTAGCCAAGTGGCGGGAACAAAATAAAGAACACAGACAAAGCTAAACCGCGGCAACAACAACAAAATTACATTTTTAAAGGGCAGAGTCTTTCCCGCTGAGTCCTCCCAAAAGGAGTCCTCCCAAATGAGTGTAGATAAAGATGAAATGTCTGTCTGTGTGTCTTTCTGGGTGTCAATCTACATTCCATATTGGATCCTTTGGTTGCAAGCATAGCTGAAACGGGTACAACTAGTATTGTATAAAAGGAAGAAATTTGCAGCGAGGGAGATTATTCTACTCCTTGGTACTGTCAGCCCAGCACTATTTTAATCAGTTCAGTTAGTTTTGCAATTAGAGTATGTTCCTGTGCTCTTCAGCACCTTGGGACATCTTATCAAAGTGAAAGGCGCTATATAAATGTAATTTTGTTGTTGTTATTGTTCTAAACAACTACAGTGCCGCCCCATTGGAATGTGCTTCCATATGCTGGGCTGACTAAAATGCCTGAGTTCCAGATTATTAGGAGCTGTCAATGACACTTCCTGCTTTGCTGCACAGGAAATAGGAAGTTGTCAGCAGTTACCTATAGTGCGGAAGGTGGATATTTTTATTTTAACATGGGAAACAGTGGGCTGAGTGCGTATCTAGGATCCCAAATACCATGTTATAACGAGGCTCCACTGAATGCAATCTTAAGTACGCAGAATGTGTGGAGGGGACACATCTCGAAGATTATTGTGTTAAAATGCAGGCCAGAGTTCACTGCTAGGAGCTTTGATCGTATCATAGGTGAGGGAAAGGAAAGAGAGAAAGAAACAAAGGATAGACTGCTTTGTAGATGTATTGGTCCTGTTGGGACCATCGGTGTGCTTCTTGATTTTGGCACGAACATGCCTTAGAAACCAGAAATTCCACCTGCCCTAAGATTATTGTGTTAACATTTCAGGCTATGCAAAATTTAGTTTAGCAAATTGTTAACGTCAGTCACTTTTCCAGTTCTTTATTAGAAAAATGTTTTGCAAACCGGCTCCTAAATTATATCTCACATCTAAAAAATTGCCGAAATCCTGGCCGATCCGAAATTTTAGACTAGCCCTAAAGCTAAAACTATGTGGAATTTTGATCTCATACAGAGGCCGAGAAGGGAAAGATGGAGAAAAAAAGGGTATCGACCGCAGAACATCAACAATAACAAAATTACATTTGTATAGTGCCTTTCACGTCAGGGGAACATCCCAAGGCGCTGGACAGATAAAGTTTCGGACCCGAGCTGGGGGTCGGAGTTGGGGAGGATGGAGGGCCACGGTCTTGAGATGGGTCTTGAAGGTGGCAAGGGAGGGGGCGGGGAGGAAGAACTGAGGATGGGGGCAGAGTGGCAGAAGGCCCGCCCGCCAATAGTGGGGCGAGCGAGTCGGGGGACATGAAGCCCGCTGAGCAGAGGGAGGGAGCAGAATGGTAGGGGGTTAGGAGGTCGCAGAGGTAGGGGGGAGCAAGACCGTGGAGGGCTTTGAAGGTGAGGACCATGATGTTGAACTGTATCCTCTGTGTGATAGGAAACCAGTGGAGTTGGGCAAGGATGGGGGTGATAGGGTCACGGAGCCTGGTGAGGGAAAAAACAGAGGCTGCAGAGTTCTGGTTGATCCGAAGCCTATGGAGAAGGAAGCAGTTGGAGACTCATGTAGAGTATAAACAATGGCACAGATTGGTTGAGTCAGATAGCTTGTTTCTGTACTTTACAATCTATATAAATCTATGTAAATATCTGTGACAGTATTATACAAAGTGAGTCAAGCACTGACAAAGATTAGCATAGTGCATTTAAGCTCTAAAGCGTATGATTGGAAATTGTAATAATCGGAACTTGATACATCCAGTTTCAAGTGAAATATTACAATGCAATTTGTACACAGGTCGCATTATAATCGTGGCATTTGATACAATGCCTTATCATGCTGTTGAAGCATCTCAAAGTGCTTTGTAGGATTTTACTGTGAAGTGTGGTGACTGTGTCTTTTTAGGCGAACAGGACAGCCAATTGGCACACCGCAATGTTCCACAAACAGCCATGAAGTGAATGATCAACCTTTTAAAAAATGGTATAAGTATAAATTTAATTAGTTATATAGCACTTGTCACGTTGGGAGGTCATCTCAAAGCACTTCACCCTGCTGAATGGGCCCCAGAGTTGGCCGAGAGGGAGGAAATGGGGGGAAGAGATGACCGAAAGTGCAGTCAAAGAGGTAAGCCTTAAGGGGTGGGGGGTACATAAGAAAGGTGAGCAGTTTCTTACCCGCAGAATCTCCTTTTGGTTTTGTCTTCCACTCACAAACCAGAATGATAGCAACTAGAATGAGCACCTCCCCGACAATAAATACGAAAGGTATGATGGCATCAATAAAATTGTGAACACGCAGGAAGATCTTATTCCCCACAATCCCCACTTCATAGGTAGCATGGCAGTGGTAATAATTGCTGTCATTAGCAACCAGGTTCTTTATCAAGAGGGATGATTTGTTGCCGTGGATCTGAATGGAATACTGGCCATCTGTATCATTACTCAGGTCCTAAATTGTGTAGAAAGAGGACATGTTTTTTTAAACAAAACCAATAACAGCACTTTTTTTTATATACACAAAGCCATTTAAGATCTCAGTTGCACTGCACCACAAAATGTGACATCTGTAAGCTTCAACAGCACCGAAAGAGGTTACAGTTACATGACCCACTCCCACTCATATTTTTGCAGGCAAATGCAGCAGCCGATTTGCGTACAGCAATGTCCCACAAACAGCAATGAAGTAAATTATCAATTTCATCTGGGGGATTGTTGACCAGGCCATCAGGAGAAACTGCTTTCACTTTTAGAATAGTGCCTTGGGATCTTTAATATCCACCTGACCAGACAGAAAGGACATTGGTTTAATGTCTCATCCAAAGGACAGCACCTCCAACAAATGCAGTGCACTGCATTGGAGTGTTGGGGCTTCAATCCACTATTCTGACCCTTCAGGCTATTTGATATCATTGTTTTCATACCCACCCAACCGTCCTCCTTTAAAAGCATCAAGCTGGATTTCATCTGTTAGAGCCCTTGGGCAATTAGCCAGACCGCATTCTCAATCGGAATGTGATTTTTTAAATGATTTGTTTTTCTTGCTGTGGAGAAGGAGGAGGTGGGGAATGCCTCAGAAATCTTTCTCTAAGTTATTTCTCTAATGCTGCCCCTCCGAATGCAGGGAAATTTCCATGTGCAAGTGACATATATATGTGAAACTCCCAGTTTGGTTTGAATACTCTAAAGCATGGTGATTGGTTTCTGCATGTGTCAGGCACCTAGATGATCAAAATATGGAGGAGGGACATTGTGTAATATGGATTCAAAGAGGAGTCAGTTGGTTATTTTATATAGGATTTTATGTATTCACATTGTAAAGGGTGCGGAAGATCCTGAAATGAACTGATGCAGTATATTTCCAGGCAAACAAAAATGCACTTTAAGAATCTTTCAGCTACCGAACTCTAAAGATTGCGAACAATTTCAAAATCTGCAAGAAACCAAATTATTGATTTTTTTCCCCCCACAAAAATAAAAAAAATGCACCAAGCTTCGACCTTTGGTAAATATGAAAACATTTGTTTTCAAAAAAACATTCCTACAGGAAGAGCAATGAACAAAGCTTCGGAAACGTCATGAATGTTTCTCAACTTATGCACAGCTCAGCTAATATTCAGAATTTTCTATCACAGGTCATCTCCCACAAATAGAGCAGTGTTACAGCAAATTACTCTTTGATTTATTACTCTTTTATCTTCTAGACGTCTAGAAGATGTGAAAAACGCTATATCAAATGCAAGGATTTTTATTATTATTACATGTGGAATCTCTGATGTGTTGAAATACAGTCTGACCTGATGGACCACACATCGGTGCTGTTCTGGATTGTTTTATGACTACCATATTTAATGTGACTGGTAACTGGATTGCCCCAAAAATATATATTTTTAGTGAGGCTGAAAATCAATAAGAACGACAATTAAAAAAAGTTAAATTGGCCACAGAAATAATAGCACAGCAGTTTCATATCTCATTCTACTAACAAGAGATGAGATTTCAGAGAAATTTGGGGTCTGTGGTCCGTTAATGAAAGAAGCAGTTTTCCTGTCCTATGTGTAGCACATAATATATCATCACAGTGGTAAGAAGTGACCATCTGAAAAAATTTACTAAACTTTTGCTAAGAATTAAAAATTATACACACTTTGCACTGAACCACCTCAGAAGCTCACAGCCATGTTTTATGCAGAAGCAACATGTTTCAGTGAGATCTTGAACTGCACTAGATTTGGGAACAGAAATATAGTGAAATTCCATTCTAATATTCTTCAACATATCGCTGCCTCGCTTATAGCATGCGTCTACTGTGGACTTTACTATAGTGCGTATTCGTTTATTACATGGTTGCACTTTGAACCCCATTCACTGTGTTTGTGTGCTGCTCTCTGGCTCACTTCCTACACGCTGGATGGGTTTTCATGCTCAAATTGTTTCATATCACTTTCTGCTTTATTTTCATAAAGAAGTGATATTGGCAGTGATACAGTGGCCAGCTAATCGCCCATTTTTCTTGCAGAAACCAGCCAACTCGCAGGGAGCAAGTTAGTCAGCTGTGCGTATGTCCAGTCAAATCGACCATGCACCTTGATACGGGTGTAATAGGTTTACAATTCTATAACAGGACTTAAATAAATTTAATTATTTGGGGAGGACAAGTTTGCAGGGTAGTAGGGAGAGAGAGGGGGAGTGGGGTTATTTTGGGTAGCTGTGAACGGAAGAGTTGGGAAGGCCGATGAGGAGGGAGTTTCCGTAATCGAGCCTTGATGTGACAAATGCATGGATGAAGGATTCGGCAACCTGAGGGGTGAAGCAGTGGTGGACTCCGCCAATGTTGCAGAGGTGGTGGTAAGCAGTGCCGATCATGGCGTGGATGTCGGGATAAAGGACAGTTCAGGGTCAAACAAGACACCCAGGTTCCTGACTGGCTTAGTGAGGTTGAGTGTGCAGCCATGGAGGCTGATGCTGCCAGCGCCTGAGGTGAAGAGGCGCTGGTGCGAGCCAATCAGGAGGACCTCGGTCTTGCTGACGTTGAGTTGGAGAAAGTTGTCCCTCGACCAGGAGTTGATATTGGACAGGCAGTCGGTCAGGATGATAGTAGTCCTGGAGTTCAGGGTGGAGGCAGAGAGATAGAGTTGGGGTGTCATCTGCATACTTGTGGAAATTTATCCCATGTCTGCGGATGATGTCACCCAGGGGGAGCATGTAGAGGGTGAAGAGGAGGGGACCGAGGACAGAGCCCTGAGGAACACCGCAAGAGACAGTGTGAGGGCTGGAGGACAAACCGTTTGCTGCGACGAAGTGGAGGCGGTGTGAAATGTAGGATCTGAACCAGTCAAGGACAGAACCTTGAAGGTTGAGGTGGGAGGAGAGGCGGTGGAAGAGGATTGAGTGGTCCACAATGTCAAAGGCAGCGGAGAGGTTGAAGAGGACAAGGAGGCAGAGGGAGCCCTGGTCGCACATGGTCAGGATGCCGTTTGTGACCTTGACCAAATTGGAGGGGTTCATGGAGGGAGTGGGAGGAGAGAAAAGAGTGAAGCTGGGAGGCAACGGCTCTCTCAGGGACTTTGGATAGTAAAGGGAGGTTTGAGATGGGGTGGTGGCTGGATAGCTCTAATGGGTCAAGGGAAGGTTTCTTCAAGGTGGGGGTGATAATGGCTGTTTTGAAGGGGGAAGGAACAGTGTCAGGAAGAGGTTGATGATGTTGACCTCTTTGCAAGGTCTTTATGCTGCTGGATTAATAATCAGGACATCCCATTAGACGTGTCAAATACGCCATGCTTAAACACCAACCAGAATTTCAACCCATTAAATGCCTCAACAGTCTTGAAAATGTGCTTTAACATGTGAGGTGCATTTTCTAAATGGAATCTCATGTAAGTCTCACTGACTTCAACTTTGGGGAGATATAAGGTGGAACTAAGATTTCATGAGCCAGGATTAAGTGCATGGGGTTCCTTGTTACAGAAGCACTTTAGGTCCTGAAGCAGGTTTTTGATGCAAGGTATCTTTTACATTGTACTTTGTCATTTGAATAGTTTTCCAACCCCAATAATGATTGCATTTGATACAGTGTCTTATCACACTCAAACACGAAGTGCTTCACGCAAAAAGTTACTGTTTTGAAGTGACTTCAAATAATGCCATCTAATTTGCAGCAATAACATTTCAATGACCAATTTATCTATTTGTGGATGAGAAAGTAATATTGGCCAGGACACAGAGAGAACCCCTCCTCTTCAAAATATTACCAAAACAGGAAAACTGAATCTTGATTTAGTTCCTCATCCAACGGATAGCATCTCTGACAAAAACGTGCTCTTTCAGGGATGCCCTGGAGTGTTTAGAGCTCACGTTTGAACCTGGAACTTTGTGACCTAGAGTCTAATGTGTCTCCATTTGTGCAAAACAAATATTTTATTGAAAAAGAGATTAAGTTTTTCTTACCACCTTGCTGCCATTGATGTCCTTTGACCAGGCCCAGTTAAGGGGAAGAACCTCACTTTCGCAGGTCAGATTAGCCAGATCACCGGTTGAACGAGATACCTTTTCATCTTTGACAGATATGGGAGGAACTGAGGAGACAGAGACAGACCAACATGAAGAATTATTGCTGATGTTAGTCTGTAGCAAATCATGGAATTACATGTTTTTGTAGACCCTCGCTGGTCCCCTGGGTACCAAGACTACACTAAGGTAATTGAACTATGTCACTTTGATGGACAATTCTGTCTCCATGTCTAAATTAGCAACCCCTGATGATCTGGAAGATCGATGTGCACGCTATTCAGTGAAACTGCTCTAAAGCTGCATTATTCTACGTTTCTGCAGAGTTCCTTGATCCAATCATTCACATCGCTGCATGGAGGATATAAAATACTTACTGAAATGATATGAAAATTAACTGGATTATTCTATATCTCCCCAAGTGCTCTGAAAGATTTGAATTGAGCAGAATAATGAATTTTCTTTTAGAAGCCTTTTAACTTCTAGGGACTTTGAAGAGGTATGTCTGGCTAAAACCCAGGGAAATCCAAGGTTTAAGACACACTTGCTGGTGTAGATGTGTCTTAAACCCTGCTAGATAAAGCTCTAACTGATATGCCTGTCACAGCTGGTCAAACCTGATTTCTTTCTCAAAGTTCCAGTCTGAGTTAAAGGGTATAAGCAAGAAAGACCAATTTATGATTCAAATTTCTGGTGAACAGCTGAAACTCCTCTTGGTTATGCTGAAAGTCAAAGTATTTCTTCAGAGCTGGTGATATAAAGAAATTAACATAGATCTAAACTGGAAGCCCATTTTACCCTTCAACTGAAATGCTGAATATTGATAATGTAGAGCAGTAGAAATCATTCAGAACAGGTAACTAGCCATACCCTGCAGTTTGCCTACACAAAGCAGGTTCAGTATTATTCAAATAGACACTCTAGGACAGCCCCGAGAGCGTGCTTTATTGTTTATTCAAGAGTATTTCTAATTTTAAGACAAAATATATTTTGAGCTCATAAGCAGAATAAAATAGTTGTTTGTGGTTTGTAGGCTGTGAACAATAATAATAATAATAATCCTTGCATTTGATATAGTACCTTATCACGTTTTCGAGATGTCTCAAAGGGCTTCACAGAATATACTGTAAAGTGAAATGACTGTATATTTTGTAACCTATTGCCTCTTCATTTCACTACTGTCTTGTATTATTACATTTCTTCTGATGGACAGCACCTTCGATAATGCAGCACTCCCACAGCGCTGCAAGGTGTGTCAGCCTAAACTTTGAGCTCAAAGTCCCAACGTAGAGCCTTGAACCCACAACCTTCTAACTCCGAGCTAAGCTAATACAACAACAACAATTTGCATTCGTATAGCGTTCTTCATGATAAAATACATAGGGAAAAGGCACATGTGGTGCAACATATTACAAAACAAAATGAAATGATTAGTTACCATTCATTTCCATCACACAAAAAATATTTAGACTGACAATGGGCAAATTGGCAAATGGATTTGTGTGTTAATTACAACTTTGTGGTTATCAAATAAATTCACGGAAGGCTAAGTCCAGAAATGGGCATCAAGGGAATCACATGGTGGGGGGGAAGGGGGTGGAGGGAACATTTGGGGACTTTATAAATTTAGGATCCATGATTCAATTAATACAAGAAATATCACAAATTACAGCCGGACACTTTCTTGTGTGTATGGGTATTTGGAATCATTCTGATCCAACGGCGGTTAACTCACTTTGAACTACAAATGTTCCGACCATCGTTTTGCTGTCGCTAGAGTAGGTACAGGAATAGCTGGCAGCATCACTGTTATTTTGAAATTGAAACCTGTAATCACAAACCAGGAGAGTTATTGATGTTAAAATGCAAGGCTTCAGTTAGGTAGTATAATAATCACAGAACGTTTGCCCCATTTTTTGTGGTGTTCCAATGCTTTGATGCTGCTTTGGTGCTGCTCTGATCTCAGCCAGCAAGCATGTCTGATTCTCCATTGATTGTAAAATTAATCGACCTTGTGTCTGTGAACTTATAACGACCCAGTCTAGCTCGATCTAGTAACATTCAACCAAAGGCACTCTTGATCAGATCTATTTTTACTCCAAAGTCTAAAGCTTCCAGCATTGATTCTCTTCCTGTCTTTATTTGCTGCGCTGTTGGCTATTTTTGCAGATTGTCAGTTCTTGGGTAGATCCCATCTGTTTTTTTTTATATAGTTCTTTCATTTCAGCTTGGCCAGCCACAGTTAGTCAGCCTTTAATGTTCTGTAATACATAGCCCTGATCGCTTCCCCTTCTTGAATGAGGATTCAATGCGAGTCCAGGCCACAGTTGTTAAAACAACAACTTGCATTTATATAGAGCCCCTCACGCATTGTAGCGTCCCAGAGCGCTTAGACAATGTCAATATTATGTCATTTTCCCTGCAGCTCACATACTTACTGATAGCTTTCAATGCTGTTGTCAATATTCTTCCCAGCTTTTTTCCAAGAAAAGGTTGAGGCCAAGTTTTTTTCATTCACATTGCAGGACAGTACAACTCTTGTTGCCACAGTAATGTTCACTATTGAACTAACATTTTCAGACTCTAAAAGTATTTGAAAGAAACCAGAAACAAGTTAGTTCCAGGAGCCAAAGAATTTTTGTTCTGTTGTATTAAAATTCGTCTGAAGTTTTGCAGTAGGTTTTCCATTAGATTAAATATCTGAGATCTAAATCTTACCAAATATTAGACAGGTCATTATCAAAAGCAACATGAGACTGCAATGTTTACAATATTAGGTTAAGAAACAAAAGCAAGAAATACTGGCTATTCAAGCAGGTCAAACAGCAGTTGAAGGAGAGAAGTAGGTTAACATTTGGAATATGTCATCTGTGTATTTCCAGGATTTTGTGGGTTTATTTCAGATCTCTGCATTCACAGTCTTTATTTCTTATTAATACTAGATGAAGGAGCCTGGCCCAGTTGGTAGCATCCTTGCCTCTGAGTCAGAAGCTTGTGGGTTCAACCCCGACATTGGGACTTGAAATCCAGACAGTCTAGGCTGATAATACAATGCAGTACTGGAGTGAGACATTAAACCAGCATCCCATCTGTCTGTTAAAGATCCCATGATACTGTTTCAAAAAGAAAGGGACATTTCTCCCGGTTTCCTGGCTAACAATCTCCCAAATAAAACTGGTCATCGACTTTATGGATGTTGTGGGACATTGCTGTGTGAAAAGTGGTTGCCATGTTCACCTACAAAATACAGTTACTCCAGTTTACAGCATATCCTGTAAAGTGCTGGGAGATGTCCTCCCGATGTGCCTATATCAAATGTATGTATGTATGTATTATTATTATTAATGAGTGTTTGCATTGTCTCTAAAATAAATAACATTTACTTAAAATTTGTACTTTGCCTCGGTGGTAATGGATTGGAATTACCATTTCCTACCCACAATTCATATCATAACTTCTTTGATGTCAGAGGAGCCATGAATATGATTGTGTGTAGAATATAGCAATTTTGCTGTTATATTTTTGTTTCTTTGAGCATCATTTAAAGTAGGGAATGCAACAAGTCATACTGCCTGTGTTATTTCTTACTTTAATCCAAAAATGTAACATTCAAATGATATCAAACAGTAAGTATGCACAAACTTTCTTATGTCCACCTGTGACTGTATCAGCTCTGCACAGGGTAAGATATAATGAAGGAGAGCAATATATTTCCATTGTTAACAAATGGACGGTTGACATGTTGAAAATACAATATAATCCTTGTACATTCGATATAGTGCTTTTATGTCCAGAGGGTGTCTCAAAGCACTTCACAGGATATACTGTAACTATTAACTGTCTTCTTTGTAGGCGAAAATAAGTTTTAGATGCATTGGCTGGTCTGCCAGTGCCCTTCAATGTGTCCCTTTGAAGATACTTCAAATCTCTGGTATGCCTTGTGTACAAGGCTGCCATTCAGTGAAATTGAATAAATGTTCCTCAGGAGATGTGATGTGACTTTGTTCTGAAGGCTTGAGCTCCTTCACCCTGCTGGTGCTAGTCTTGGACCTGTGCAGGCTGGGCACTGAGGAATTTCACTAAGAACCACAGCAAATCCTGCACAGTGTGAATTGTTCTTTGTTCCACTGTGGCGTAAGCACATCCATTTATAATTATTTTTCAGTGAAGAGACACGTTTCTCAGGAATCAGTAAGTCAGATGACGATCAGAGCACATTTAAAGGGCAAGCTAAGCTCTCTTTAAGAATATGAAGTCACAGTTCTTCCAGTGACCTAGCAGATAAAAGCACTGCCCAGTATAACAACAACAACTTGCATTTATATAGTGCTCCTCACGCCGGGTAGCATCTCAGAGCACTTATAGCACTGGATCATAGCATAGAAATGTACAGCATTGAAGAGGTCATTCAGCCCATTGTGCCTGTGTCGGCTCTTTGAAAGAGTAATTCATTCACTCCAATTTCCCTGTCTTTTACCCCATTCACCCTGCAAATTATTCCTTTTTAGATATCTATCTAATTCCCTCTTCCAAGCTAATAGGGATCCTGCCTGAATAAGCGAACCCAGCAGGAAGCAAAAAAAAATTCTCCTGATCTTCCCCTTTGCTTTACAGAAAAGCCACCAGTCACAAGGTAGTTGGTTTCAGCCATAGTAGGTGAATATGACTGCCATTTTATGCACAATAATGTCCCACAAACAGTTAACCAGGACAACGAGAGAAACTCCCTTCTCTTTTCAAATAATGCGATGGGATCTTTAGCGTCTACTTGATCAGGCAGATGAGGCCTCAGTTTAACATCTCATCCCAAGGATGGCATCTCCAACAATGCAGTACAGCCCCAACACTGCATTGGAATGCCATTTTAGAGTATGTGAGTTCCAATTACTGAACCCCCAAGAGTGGTACCACCTGAGTCAGCTCTTCTCTTTGCCTTGCATTGTTAACATCGACCCAAACAGGCAGACAAGGCCTTGGTTTAAAGTCTCATCTGAAGGACCGTATCTCCAACAATGCCAGCCTGGACCGTGTACTGTGATTGCAAGCTGTAAAAATAAAACTGTTTGCACAGTCACATTTCATTCAGTGAATTTTTATATTTGCAATTACTTATTTTACTCAAGTAGAAGAAAGGGTATTTTGGAATTACCTGATAGAACAATATTTTTCTGCACTACAATTTGGTTTGTATTGGCCTTGTCTTGAAGTTCTGGAATTGGGGTATGGTTTGGTGAGGGAGTTTCATAAGTATTGTCGCTTGAAGTGTAACCTGGAAAAAGAAAATAAATGGATCATTATTATGGATGGAGTTTAACAGTTTTCATCCCCTAAAATTCAGTTAATATTACTTTATATTTAAAATTTGATCTGATTTTCTCCTCTCTGGCACATACTTCACTGCTAGCCAGTCTGGCCTCTCTGGAAACCTTGGGGCATCCTCCCAGCGTGAAATTGATAATATAAATGTAATTTGTTGTTGTTCATTGGCCTGCTGGAGTGCAGCTGCGTGGGAAATGGTTCCTCGCCTAAGTGGCCACTGTTGACATGTGAGCCTTGGCAGAGAGGGTCATCAGGCCCCTAGAGGAACTTGTAGCAGGACACAAAGGTGGTTTCCCCCTCCCTCACGCCAAGAAGGCTTGGGCCAACTTAGCCTTCGAACACAACACAGTTAACACCAGCATACACAGCACAGACTGGGATTCGAACCAGCAAGTTCCTGGTCTGTAAGCAGAAGTTCTATCTTCTATACCATGGGGCTCCCACTCCGCTGGACTCTTAACTAGTTACAGAATCAAAATGGAATTGTTCACCTTTACTGTAACGCTCATCATGCACCAGTACACACTTGAAATTGTAAATCATTGTACTAATACGTATGAGAAATACTCTGCAATACGTATGAGAAATTGGGTCAGTGCTTCTCTCTGCCGTTTGACTATACTATGCCATCATTCATAAAATATTTCAACTTCTTATTAAAATTCTGAATGCCATGTCATTATTTTCATGTTGACTTTGATAGCATGAAAGCACTGCAGCTTGGAAATGAATCACAATTGTCTAAGAGACAAATGATCTTAATTATTTCAGTGCAAACATAGAAAATAGGTCTGGAAGAGTCTTGACATGCAACTAAATTGTGATTTCCTCTGCATACAAATCTTGCAAATAGTTTTCTCCTTCTTCCCCCCCCCCTCCCCCACCACACACACACACACACACTTTAGGGGAAATGACTGACAATAAAGTAATATTAAGCTATATTTCTCCAGTGACAATTTTATATGAAAGTTCAGTGTGCCTTTCAATTTTTCCCCACTGGCATATGTGAGGGCGTCTGATCTTTCCCCACCCAATTGACACACTCAGTAGAGTATATTTTACTGGGACCAGGAGCAGAAACCCTAGCTAATTTTGCCTCCCTGACTCTGGGAAGCCCTGGGCAAATTTAGCCTCCCATGTAGCCCCAGCTGAGACCAGTGTGAACAGGGAGGGCATGAGTTCAGGACACAACTCTTTAGCTATTGTCACTCAACCATGATTAATACCTGTGGAACTTCTTTTCTTTACAGCTGAGCAGATAATAATCCTGGCATTGCATTTGATATCGCATCTTTGTGGTGTATCAAAGCGGTTCACATAATATACTATGAAGTAAATATTTTGTGGACGAAAATATCAGATGTTGTTAAAGAAATTGATTGGAGGCATCATAAATAAAGCACAGAAGAAAGCCATCTGGCCCTCATGCCAAGGTGGGCTCTCTGCAAGACCCAACTGTTTATTTCTACTCCCTGTTTTCCACATATTACTCTAAATGCAAAGAGTATTATTACTTTAAAGAATCCCTGCCAAGCAACATTCAGCATCTATAGTTTCCTAAATAAAACAAGTTAAACTTAATCAGGGTAGCTTCATCACAATTTATTTTAGTGAGCAGGGTGTCAGACACCCCCTTCTCCCCCAATCAAGAAAAAATCAACTTGTTTAATACAACAACAACAACTTGCATTTATACAGCCCCTTCCAGGCTGGGCGGCATCTCAGAGCGCTTAACAATGGTGGAGCCCAAGGCCAAGCCAGGGGGAGGGGAGGGGGAAGGTGACCGTAGGCGCGGTCAAAAGGGAAGGTCTTCAGGCGCGAGGAATGGAGGGATTTAAACACTAGAGTGAGGATCTTGAATTCGATCCGCTCTGTGACAGGGAGCAAGTGGAGTTTGGGAAGGACTGGAGTAATCGGGGCACGAAGTTTGGTGTGGGTGAGAATGCAGGCGGCGGAGTTTTGAATGAGTTGGATTTTGTGAATAGTGGAGGAGGGGAGATCGATGAGGTAGTTAGTGTAGTCCAGCTGTTAGTGTAGTCCAGCTGAGAGGTGACAAAAGGCATGGACAAGGTTTTTGGCAACTTTTGGGGTGAGGTATGGTCAGAGACTGTATCCAAATTATGCTGAGAGACCCACATATGCATGAACATTTGCATTTGTCTGATATAGAGTATAAACTCTCTCCCTGGAAATCTACTTCCTTCTCACCTAATCCCAGACATTTTAGAAGGTTAGCAAGAGCCAAGGCTTGGAGACCCCAGAGTGTTGGTTGAGATATTCCTGGAGTTTAACCAACTAAAAGCTAAAACACAGCTTACTATTGACAGCATTGTCTGGTAAGTTTCCCATTGCTTGCCTAGGTAGGACTATTCTACCCTTAAGGGTTTTAGCTTGCAGGAGCGGAGCGATAAGAATCCCAGTGCCCAAAGTTCCACAAATTCCACCACCACAAATTCAGGAGGGTTAAGGAAATGAGAAGCAATGTTACTGATGGACAAGATTCTTTATTAGTCATGAGAGAAAGCATCCAAATAGAAATACTTATTAAGTTCTGCGATGTTAGGACACAATGTTCTTGGCAAGCATGCATGCCTCACCTGAAACAAAGAATCTTGCATGTGAAGAAAATACAAAGAAAGGTAGGTATACATAGGTGGAGCAGCTGTAGTGTCATGAATGTACAGGGAAGTTAGAAGAAATTTCTTCACAGTCAAATAGGAAAGTTAGAAGAAATTTCTTCACACAGTCAAATAGGAAAGTTTGAAGAAATTTCTTCACACCGTCAAATAGGAAAGTTAAAAGAAACGTCTTCACACAGAGAGTAATGGGAATGTGGAACATGTTACCATAAGGAGCTGTTGAGGCAAACAGCATAGATGTATTTACGGGAAAGCTAGATAGGTACGTGAGAGAGAAAGGAATAGAAGGTTATGCTTGAAGGCTTAGTTGAGGAAAGGCAGGAGGAGGCTCATGAGGAGCATAACACCAGCATAGACCAGTTGGGCCGAATAGCCTGTTTCTGTGCTGTATATTCTAATGCATTCTAATGTATGAATAATATCAAATCCTTTATCCACCTGATTAGCTGTCACTTATCAAGTTAGCCTGGCTGTTCTCTTCCTTGCATCTCCTAGAACAAAATCACTCTAATACTAGAACAATTAATCCTTATATTTGGTATGGTGACTTTCTGCTAGGGAGGACGTCCCAAAGTATTTCACAGACTTAGTGTAGGTGGCGTTTTCCTAGGGCTTGGAGGGACTAAGAACCCAGGTCCTCTCGCTTCCAAGGTGAGTGCTTTAACTACTAAGCAACAGGACTCCTGTATATCATAGCTAGATTCCGGCAGACTAAAAAATCCCCTGCCCCAGGTTGCTTAGCAGAAAATGCAGATGTGTCACCTATTGAGTTACAAAAATAATTGTTGTTACAGACCACAGGTTCAAACCTCAGTCTATGCTAATTTTAGCTGAACTCAGCAAGGTTACCTCATATTTGTCATCAGTATCCTTGCATTTTGTTACAGGAGAAAGCTATAGCTATCAACAACAACAACAACAAGATTACATTTGTATAGCGCCTTTCATGTCAGGAGGACATGCCAAGGCCCTGGACAGAGCACAACATTTCAGACCCGAGCTGGGGTCGGGGGTGGGGGGCGGAAGGGAGGGGAGGGGAAGGGGGGATGGCCAATGGCATGGTCGAAGAGGAGAGTCTTGAGGCGGGACTTGAATGAGGCTAAGGAGGGGCTGAAGCGGAGTAACTGGGGGATGGAATTCCAGAGGTTGGGGGCAGAGTGGCTGTAGGCTCTCCCGCCAATGGTGGGGTGGGTGGGTCGGGGGATGTGGAGCAGGATGCGGAGGGAGCGGGCGTGTTGGTAGGGGGTTGGGAGATTGCAGAGGTAGGGTGGGGTGAGGCCATGGAGGGTCTTGTATGTGAGGACTAGGAGGTTGAACTGGATCCTCTGAAGGATTGGGAGCCAATGGAGTCGGGTGAGAGTGGGGGAGATGGGGTCACAGAGTTTGGTGTGGGAGAGGACACGGGCTGCAGAGTTCTGGATTATCCGCAGCTGTTGGGGGGAATGAGTTGGGAAGGCCGACAAGCAGGGCGTTTGCATAGTCGAGCTATTTGAAAAGAGAATGGAGTTTCCCCCAGTGTACTGGCCAACAGGACCCCAGAGATAAAAAAATTCAGTCACTTCATGGCTGTTGGCAGGACATCAGTGTGCAAAAATTGCTTGCCGCACATGCCTAGAAAATACATAATCATTACACAATCAATCCTGTGAAGCACTTTGAGATATTTTGGCAGTGTGACAAGTCTCTATATCAAATGCAATGATTGTTCTATTGTTATCTTTATATCTCCAGTGTTTACAGAGTTCCTAAAAAATATTAACCAGAGGCTCACCTAGTTCCTCTTATAATGAATCAGAGGGCAAATCTAACCTGTTGTGTTTAGTGACAGTTGCACACTCATCCCTTTGGTTTTAAATATACATTAAAATCGCAATTTTTCAGCGGCCTGAGGGGTGAGGTAGTGGCGGAGTTGGGAGATGTTACGGAGGTGAGGGAAGGCAGAGTGGGTCATGGCTTGAATGTGGGGGAGAAAAGACAGTTGAGGGTCGAACAAGACACCTAGGTTCCTGTCTGGCTTTGTGAGTTGCAGTGTGCAACCATGGAGGTTGATGTTGCCAGAGCCTGAGGTGCTGAGGCGTTGGCGTGAGCCAATCAGGAGGGCCTCAGTCTTGTTCACATTCAACTATAGGAAATTTGCCCTCATCCAGGACTTGATATCCTACAGGCAGTCTGTCAGGACAGCAGTGGTCCTGGAGTTGAGAGTGGAAGCAGAAAGATAGAGTTGGCTGTCATCCACATACATATGGAAGTTGACCCCATGACTGCGGATGATGTCACCAAGGGGGAGCATGTAGATATTAAAGAGGAG